GAGTTCATTCAGACCATCATATGACAGATAGTTATTTATAAATATAAGTTAAGAAAGCAGCCATCTGGGGTTGGAGCAATAGTAGAGTGACTCGGGTGCTTGCCATGCATGCAACTGACCCGGGTTTTATCCCTGGTACCCCATGTGATGCCCCGAGCACCGACAAGAGTAATCCCTGAGTAAGAACCAGGAGTAAGCCCTGGGCACTGATGAGTGTGACAACAAAACAACCAAAAACCAACTCTCAAGTGAATGCCTTTCTTGGTTTGGGGAATGGAGGGAAGTTTCTCCCTTCTTGCTTCTGGAATTGTGGCTAGCCTAGTGTTGACTTTCTGGCTCAGCGTCCAGCTTCGCAGCTTCAGAAGCAGTAGAGCCATCCTGGGCTGGAGTTTTCCATTGTTGCCCTTGATCCTGGCTACTCAGTGTTGACCTGTGAGGTACTTTGCGAGCTGGCTGACTTCTCTTTTCTGAATTCACCGAAAAGCGGCATTGGCAGCAGGTGAGAGTAGTCATTGTCTACCTGGGAGGATAATATCAGAGGACATAAATAAAACATCCAGCACAGACCTGCTCCATAGTATGTACTGAATAAATGTTAGCTGCTAGCAGCCGCAGTGTAAAAGCAAAATGAGACAAAAAGTCCTGAGGCTGTAATGAGATGCTCAGTAGCAGGTTCTGACCAAGAGCACCGTGGAGAATTCTGAGCAAGTCCAGCCTGCAGCTCTGCAGTTTCTACTCTCTCCATATGTCAAAACCTGTCAGAGCCAGCGAAGGTCTTACTCAAGACAGTCTATCCCTGCCACCTGCCACCTTGCTGGCAGAGAAACAGCCCCGCATCGCATCTCCAAAATAACATGGTGCTGCTGAATCTTCCCAGATACACTGTTTTGGACTGAGAACTCTGGGGCCTTCTCGGAACGGGGGTGGGCAGTTGTCCTTTCTGCTGGAAGGCACAGCAGCCTGCATGTCTACCTGACAGCCTCTGACATAGAAAGAGCCCAGTGACACAATTGGACCTTTTGAACTGCCAAGCCACCAAATTGTTCCAGATCTATAACTCCTGGACTGCACGGCTGTGACACCTCAGAAATTTCATAGTACTGTTGGCCTAGTAGGATCACAGCAAATCTGGTCGGAAAGTTGTGTAATAAGACCACCAAGCTCAGTGATCCTAAACAAGAACACAGAAGGCTCAACTAGCAGTTAACAGCATAGTAGATCCTCAGAGTGACTTCAGTAAATTCATGGTGAGATATAACAGTTATCACTAGTTGACTCCTGTTGATCTAAGTTTTGATAATTCCATTTGCCTTTCTGTTGTAACAAACAAAATGGAGTAAATTTGATTGTGCAGGGGAAAGGATAGGGTGGTGGTTGGGACTCAGGACATTGGTGGAGGGTGCGCACACTGACGGTGGGATTGGTGTTGTGACATTTAATGCCTGAAATAACTATTATAAACAACTTGGTAAATCATGGTATTATAATAAAAATTAAAGAAAGAAAACAGTGTATCCCCAAATGGGTATTACCCTCCCCACACCCCTTTGGGGATTGCAGGAACAATGGGGGTAATATAGTTTCGGGTACAGTTGGGGGGTGCTTTCTGTTTGTTGGCTTAAAGTAGGTGAAATTCAGGAGGTCTCAATAATTTTTATTTTTCTGGAAAGGGGATAGTAGGACAGTAGGGAACTTATGTTTTAGGACTACTTAAGAACATTACAATTTTAAAAATAAAATATACGAGCATCTTTTAAGACAAGGTGTCACGGGACCTGGCTCAGGAGATGCCAGCTAGCCTTTTGCTTTTGGCAACATTTAGCAGTGTAGGGGATACTCCACACTTTCTGCCCAGGGAATCCTCTGGTGCCCATAATTGAACCCGGGCCTCCTGCACACCAAGCATGTGCTTCAGCCCTTTGATCTCAGAGTGTGTGTGTGTGTGTGTGTGTGTGTGTATGTGTGTGTGTGTGTGTGTTTTGGACCACACACATCAAGGGGTTACTTTTGGCTTTGCATTCAGGAATTACTCCTGGCAGTGCTTAGGGGACCATATGGAATGCGGGAGATTGAATCCAGGTCAGAGATTCAATCCAGGTTGGCTGTGTGCAAGGCACGCCACCCTACCCACTATACTCCTTCTTTGGCACTGATACTACTTTTTTTTTTTTGCTTTTATTTATTTATTCATTTTATTTATTTATTTATTTATTTTTGGGTCACACCTGGCAATGCAGGGGTTACTCCTGGCTATGCACTCAGGAATTACTCCTGGTGGTGCCTGGGGGACCATATGGGGTGCTGGGAATCAAATCCGGGTTGGCCGCGTGCAAGGCAAATGCCCTACCCACTATGCTATCTCTCCAGCCCCCTTTTGGTTTCATTTTAATGACCACATTTTAACTCTTGTTTCTGGGAATCATTGGAAGAAGATTAATTTGTTTTATGAGTACTGTGTAAGCTTACAAAGGACTTAACCTCTGACCAGATACAGAGTCAGTAGTGTAATCTGGGTCTTCCAGCATATTGTTCTCTCCCATCTAAATCTAGATTTGGCCTCAGTTATTATTATTTTTTTGGCTTCCAACTAGTACTCAAGAGGCTTAGGGGTCACATCTGGCAGTACTCTTTTTTTTTTCTTGCTTTGGGTCATACCCAGTGATGCTCAGGAGTTATTTCTGGCTCTGCACTCAGGAATTATTCCTGGTGGTGCCTGGGTGAACATACGGGATGCCGGGGATCAAATCTGGGTTGGTCGTGTGCAAGGCAAACACCCTACCTGCTGTACTTTCACGCTGGCCCACATCTGGCAGTACTCTACTTGGCTGTGGGATCTGATAATTTAGTGGTGCCAGGTACAGGCACCCAGTGGTATTGGGGGAATTATGGATTGCAGGGTATTGAATCCTGGTTGTACAAGAAATATGTTGTAACCCTTTGAATATACTCCCCTGACTCCCTAATTTTAAATGTTATTTCCCCTGGTTTAATTTTGAGGGAAGGGGGATAGGCTTAAGCCATGTTCAGTGGTGTTTCTCTCTCTCTCTCTCTCTCTCTCTCTCTCTCTCTCTCTGTGTGTGTGTGTGTGTGTGTGTGTGTCTTATGGAGATACTTGAGGAGACCATGATGTGCTGGTTATTGAACAAGGACCTCTCCTGCATGCATAACATCCCCAGACCTTTGAGCTATCTGCATGACCTCTCCCCTAGTATTTTAAAATTATATTATCTGAAGCAGAGCTTCATTAACTGATTCATTAAATAATTTCCCCATTCCAGAAGTTTGAGGAAGTAAGAGTAATAGTGTACTATTAGAGAGACATCTAAAGCTCCAAACACAAACAGGTCAACCCTGCAACTTTTTAGTTGATAAGAGAACTATTAGACATACTTGATGAGAGGCCATTGGTGTAATTATTGGAGAGGGCCTTATCGGTATACAGGAGTGAATTTAATGCCTCTCTAATAGCAATACCAACAGGCTGAACTGGAAAAGACATTGTATTTGCCTCATGACCTCATAGGTATGATATGAACCCAGTCTCTGACGCTTAGAATTGGATTAAGAGTAAAGTATATGGGAATAATTCAGAGTTGGTAAAACATACTGTGAAATGTAGTAAGTTAATAATTGATAATTTCTAATAAACCAGAATTTTTCTTGTCATATTTTAGAGTAATTATTTTATATTTATTTAAAATTAGTTTTAATAGTCATCGTGAAAATTCTTAAGTTATTCATGACTGAGTTTCTGTCATGCAATGTTTCAACTCCAGTCCCTCTGCCAGTGCCTACTTCCCTCGACCAGCTTCCCCCACGTGCTTGCCTCCCTGCCACTACAAGGGACACTAGGCTAGTGACCTGAATGTTTTCTCTCAGTATCCTCACCAGTCATTTTGAGTTACTGTTAAAAAAAAAAATCTCCATTATTTCACCAATTTTGCTAACATTTAGATAAATATTTTCAGCAGTTTTTCCTGTTTTGAAATTTTTCCATCAGCACAACTAGTAAATTTAGTTGAAGGAGTAAGTACACAGTAATCTGTGGCCAAAAATAATGGTAATTTTTTTTAAATAGAATTGAATGATTAGGAGATAACGTATCACAAACTAAGACTGAAATGGGAAAGATGCGAAAAATTTAATTTGCTCTTGTTATTTTGAAATGGTGATGTTGATTATGACTTCAGAAGTGCTGTGCAGATAAGTAGAAAGGAATATAGCCTCCCTCGTCCTCGAAAATGAAATGTGTACCGAAGGTTGAAGTGCATTCCAAGCATATGCTTTGAGTTTCTTTCATTGATGTGTGACGACAGGGGTCTCGCCTATGTGGCTCTGATGCTTGCAGGGCCAGTCACTTCCAGTTGCGGATCTTGCACACCTGCACATGATGGCCATATTGAGATGGCCCAGAGCTTACATGCTTCCTTTGCAGCATCACAATTCCCACCATGATTGGTGCAAGTGGCTGTGGCTGGCACCAGGTATCAGACTCACAGCCTCCTTCTTGCAAGGCAGGTGCTTGTAGCCGCAGAGCCATTTGCTCGGTCCCAGATCAATTGTTTGTTACTGCAGCAGGTGGTGGCCTTAACTTATATTTTCTTCTGAACTTAGTTGTTTTGTATAGTTTTATACTAATATCTATATCTATAATTCACTAATACAATGTTAATAGGGTTAATAATGGATGTTTATGACTTCTTGCTCTCTTCCTCCATCTTTCTAAATTTCTTTCAATCAAAATTATTTTGCAAAGTATTAATAAATGTATACACATATGTACATAAATTTATATATAATATCCATTATATTCAGTTATATATAAGTGAATGTATATATAAAATACATTTTTGCCTCTTGTCAGTAATTTGCTTTAATTTCCAAGGTAATTAAAATGTACAGCATAATAATTTTGGCAGCTGATGGTTTGATTGGCAAATGTTATCATTGTTAATTTATTAATGTTTGATTTTTTTTTTTTCTTTTTCTCCTGGTTCCAGGGTGTGGATGAATGGAACATAGCTCGCCTAAATACAGTCTTGGATGTGGTTGAGGAGGAGTGCGGTATTTCTATTGAGGGAGTAAATACCCCTTATCTCTATTTTGGCATGTGGAAAACCACATTTGCATGGCACACCGAGGATATGGACCTCTACAGCATCAATTATCTCCACTTTGGAGAGCCCAAGTCTTGGCAAGTTGCATGTTTCATATTAATTTGCTTTGGAATTTTGAAACTTGATAATGTGGATCTGTTGAAGAGGAATCTTTTTTATTTATCTGGTAGATTCAGATTTTTATGAGCCGCAAGGAACTTTTCGACTGTAACAGTTGTTTTCTGCTCTATTCAGAGTTTTGCTGTAGACCATAAAGCTACCAGTGACTTGTGTGCAGGATTGCCATTAGACTATTTTCGTGGGCCGTGGCTTAGTGGATATTTAGACTTGACCTTTTTGGCATTTGTACTTCTTTGAGAGTTTGTTTGTAGTTATGTGGGAGGTGTTAGGAGTGAAAGTTTACTTCCTGGATATAGAATATTAAATAATTTTAAGAATTTCTTTCTGGCCCAGCCTCCTTTGAAAAACTTTCCTTCAGCACATGGTGGCTAAAGGGAGGAGTGGGATTGCTCCTTGAGCCTATATCTTATGCTTTGATGCAAGTAGGAATTAGGACATGTGGATGTTACTAGGTGTTCTTGCTTCTTATTTCTTATGTTTGCAGACCCCTTTTATCATCTGTCTTTGCAATAGTTTTAAAATGTACTACTTGGTAACATGCAGAGTATTGTGTATTATTTGACTGTCAGTCACTCTGGTATCCTCTGTGGTTTGTCCCTTTTGTGTTTGAATATTTTCTCTCCATGGATTTCTGCCATAAGAGAATTAAAATACCAATTTTCTGTAAGACATTGTACATGCAGGACAATACACACACACACACGCACACGCACACGCACACGCACACGCACACACTCTATATCTACCTGATAGCCCAGGAAATACAGTGTTTCTGATGACTGTGAGCAGTAAAGGATGCTCTCCAGGCTTCTGCCATCACAATAACTTTATTTGCCAGTCTTTTGTTTAATTTTTGTTTAGTTTAGCTTTTGACCATGATTGCCTATTCTCAGGGCTTACTCTTGGTTCTGGATTATTGCTGGGAGTGCTCAGGGGGCCATTTGGGTTTTCGGATTGAATCTGGGCTAGCAGTGTGCAAGGCAATTGCCTTCCGCACTGAACTCTCTCTTTAGTCCTGTGATGGGATGATTTATTACCCAGGTTGTACCAGGTGTACACCTTCAGGGCTAATTGTGGCTACTCTCTTTGGGTCTTGTGGGTCTTGCTCATATTTCTTTTTTTTTTAATGTAGGAGTACTGTTATTTATTCAGCCACTGATTAGCTGATTGAATTGGGCATGAACTCCACCCTTTTTCCCCATAATTTTATTTATTTACTTATTGTTCTTGTATTTATTGAATCACTGTGGGAAAAGTTACAAAGCTTTCAGGTTTAAGTGTCAGTCATACAATGATCAAACACCTTTCCCTTCACCGGTACTCATTTTTCACCACCAAGAACCCCTATATACCCCCCTCTCACCCCTCCCAATGCCTGTGAGGCAGATGATTTCTACTTAACTCTTCTCTGCATTGATTGCATTCATTATTTCGACAAAAGATGAACCATTATTGTTTAGAATTTCCCCGCCGACAATCAGAAATGCTGAAAAGGCATTGTGAAATACTTTGTTGTCTATAGCTGGTTACGAGAATCATATAATGTCCTGCAGCCGCAATAGCAGCCATGAGATTTTGGATTTCTGCAAAGAGCCAGATAATTATGAGATTGGTTTCTGTGCATCTGGTGTTATGGCTGTGCCAGAGAGCCACTTGTGGGGGGCAGCTCGTGACCTCGGTAGGGCGTGAAGGACGACCCAGTACCGCCCCCCTTCCCATGAGACTGCAGTTGCCCCGTCACTGCTGGCTCATACCTGGCTTTCCTATAACTCTGAGGCGGCGGCCACCTTGCTACCAGGGGGAAAAAGGCGGAAGGGAGCAACACCCTATCTCTCCCGGGGAGGCATGGTGCCGGAGCTTAAGGCATGGACCATTCACTTTTCTGCTGCAAGTTGCCGGGCTCTGGACTAAGTCCTTTTGCCTCTGGAGCCATGGTTTTGCTAGATAGCCGCTTGTGGGAGGCAGCTCGTGACCTCGGTAGGGTGTGAAGGACGAGCTGGTATTGCCCCCCTTCCCATGAGACTACAGTTGCCCCATCACTACTGGCTCATACCTGACTTTTCTATAAGCTCTGAGGTGGCAGCCACCTTGTTGCCAGGGGGGAAAAAGGTGGAAGGGAGCAACACTCTTTCCCTCCCGGGGAGGCATGGCACTGGAGTTTAACGCATGGTCCATTCACTTAAATGTAAAGCTTAGTAGAATGCCATCCTTTAGTACATTGGGAACATAGATTTTGAGTCCAGGGGAGATATTTTATTTTTTAAAAATTTTTATTAGTGAAACACCATGAGGTACAGTTGTAGACTTACACATTTTTGTGCTTGGGTTTCAGTTATACAATGATCCAGTACCCATCCCTCCACCAGTGCCCATTTCCCACCACCACGGATCCCAGTATCCCCCCCCCCCCCCCCCATTGTACCCTGCCTTGTGGCAGGGCATTCCTTTTTGTTCTCTCTCAGGAGAGATATTTTAAACAGTGCACAGGCTCTTCAGCTGCTTAAGCTTCCTAAATCTATCAGCTTACTCTCGCACTCTCTTTTAGTGAGGATACAATTAAATGAATCAATTCACTGTTGCTGAAATCTAGTAGATAGGCAACTATATACTGTGTTTACCTTCAGAAATCTATAAAGTTGTCCCAAGGGACTAACTAGCTCAGTGTCTTGCCAAGCATAAGGTTCGTAGTTCAGTTCCTGATGTTGCCACATGTGCTGACTTCTGGCAGTTCCTTTATCATGATCATCCACAAGTCGTTTCTAGCCACATTATATACCAGGTGTGTTTGAACACCATAAGTAAAAGGGCTGCAACCCCTTTGAGCATCTGTATTCAAAAAGCACTGTAGCCAAGAAGTGTGACTCTCGGAGAGCCCCATGCTACCACTACAGTCAGAGGTGCTAGAGCACCACAGCTTCTTGTGGGACCCTCAGGGTACAAGACTCAACGTTTGAGAGGTGCAAGTTGTGATGAGCACGGTGGTGGATTGATCATCTCATCCTCATATGCAGCCCCTGGTAGGCACCACACCTGAATGTAAGTGCATCACAGTTGACAACAGCAGCAAAGGGCAGGGCTAGGGAGGAAAAATAATCTGAGAATGAGTATGATAAATTGATAACAGCTTTTCTGGAGGCTTGGTAGAATTGAATTACTGAGGAAGCCCAGAGCATTCATTTGAGATTTTAGTTTTCCTAGAGTTTAGATGAAGTTTTTACTTTCTTTCATCATTTTAAATTAGTTAATTTCTTTTCTGGGTCACATCTGGTGATGCTCAGGGGTTATTAGTGGCTCTTTACTCAGGAATTAACCCTTTCGGTGCTCGGAGACCATATGGGATGCTGGGGATAGAACCCGGATTGGCCGCATGCAAGTATAGTACATCTTCTCCACTGTACTATCACTTCGACCCCAACTTTCTTTCCTTTTTTTTTTTTTTTAATCAAATTTACTTTGATTTAAATACGTGGCTTGCTCAGGGGTTACTTCTGGCTCTGCACTCAAGAATTACCTCTGGCTGTGTTCATGGGATGCCGGGGATTGAACCCAGAATGACCACATGAAAGGCAAGCATCCTACCTCTGTACCATTGTTCCAGCCCCTAGTTTTTTTTTTAAATTAAAATTTTTTTTTTCTTTTTATTAGTGAAACACCATGAAGTACAGTTGTAGATTTACAATTTTTTGTGCTTGGGTTTCGATTATACAATGATCAAATACCCATCCCTCCGTCAGTGCCCACTTTCCACCACCATGGATAATATCCCTCCCACCCCACCCCTCCCCCACATCCCACCCTGCCTCTGTGGCAGGGCATTCCCTTTTGTTCTCTCTCTCCTTTTGGGTGTTGTGGTCTGCAAAAGAGGCATTGAGTGGCAAACATGTTCAGTCCATAGTCTACTTTCAACATGCATCTCCCCTTCTGGGAGGATCCTCCAAACACCCTTTATTTGGTGCTCCCTTCTCTATCTGAGCTGCCCTTTCCCCTAGAATGCCCGGTCTAGTTTTTACTTTCTTATTTAAATGATTTTCCCTCTCTCTCTTGGGAAATTTTATCTTATGTATTAAAGATCACTTATAAGAGAATAATCTGGCAAGGACAAGATTGGTTCTGTACTTTCGTGTCTTTAGAAAAGAGTATCATTGTTTATGAGTAAGAATATACTTGTTTCCAAAGTGTCTGTATGTGTGTGTGTTTTTAAACCACTAGCATGTATATTTTCCATGGTTAATTACCCTGTTATTATGCATATAGTCTCCATGTGTGCATTCAGGGTAGATTTACATTATCACTATTATCTTTAACCTTGGCCATTATTTATAATGATAACATAATAAAACAGCAGTGTATTATGAAAGCTAATCTACATTTCATTTTCCAAGATAACTACTGTAGGAGAAGTGTGACATAAATGATTCTAGGGATATTTCCCAGTCGATTTATGAGAGGCAGTATTAGCTCAGTATAAATAAGTTTGAGGCAAACTGGATTATCATTAGAATTTACTTTAGTAATTATCATAATGTATTTGAAGTGAACTTTGGCAGCAGCATTGCAAACCGGTGAAAATGCTGGGGACAGCAGATGCGTGTGCAACAGAGTCGACAGTGTCTCTGAGCGTAGGACTCACCAGTCAGCCTTGGCTCCTACTCCGCTCCTAACATCTGGGGCTCTGAACAAAAGTCTGCTTCTCTGGACTCCGGTTTCTCACTCATAATCGCAGAAGGTCAGTTAGGATGATCTCCAGTAGTATCCTTCTGTCATTTGTGATCCAAAATCACAGGAATAATTTCACTTTACAAAATGTATCTTTTAGGTGACGAAAAAAGGTCTCCTTGCCGAGGGGCATCCTGGACAGTTGCGTTTGTCCTTGCCCAGGAGGTGCCCTCTCCTGGGGGCACCTCTGACATCTGTGACCCTAGCACTGTGTCTTCTTCCTTCCTCCCATGGCTTGGCA